AATCTCAAAATGGGTAGAAAAATACATGATATTGCCACCAGCTGCAGCATCGTCTGAATTATTCATACATTCCACCCTCACACTCCCGCCCGGTGTTGGGTATTTGTTGGCATCTCGTGAAATAAATATCCAATTCCCCAAAACCACGGGAAACGAGGACAAAAATCGCATCTTAAATTTATAATAGCATCAGTTAGACTTGTATGCCGTGTTGCCGAAGACGACTCACTCCCTTTTCTGCCCTCCGCTGTATTTTTTATGCCACCACCTTCTCTGCATGGCTTTTGCCACCCCCAATCCACATGGGCAATAATTTATAAGCATATTGTGAAACATTTGTGCTATCCACCCGCCCTATAACCTGATCCACCCGCATATGTGGTGCCTCGAGGCATGGCCAGGAGGACAAACAGGAGGCGAGAAGTTGCCACAATCGCGCCAAAAGATGAACAAGTGCAGCCACATCCCCAGCATCGAAAAAGAAGGAATTCCGGATGAGACAGAACGAAGCCAAGGGACAAATATCTGCGGAAAGGTCAAAATCAGATGCAAATCACAAAAATGAGAGTGATCAATAGCGTTCAAAGAATGACGTGAGTGAAAATAGAGCGACCATAAGTGGGGAAATAGCTCAGAACAGTGCGGACTTTTGGCCATATCTTCCGAATACGACTCTTCTGAATCTTCGTCGTGGTTTATTATTGTTCTTCCTCCATCCTAAAAAATCATAAAGTGGAATTGTCCAGATAAATCGCCCTTGGTGCTCAAGGAGTGAACATGTAGCGAAGAAATTTCTTGGAACACCCTCGATGTCTTGCAATGCTGGGGCGCGGAGGCGAAATGGGAGCAGAGGATCTTTTTAGAGTGCATCGAAAGGTTGCCAGGAATAAATTGCACTGCTCATTGTACACTTTTCCTTTTTCCCAGGCAGTCTTTTTTTCTCACACTCCTCAACACTCTTCCCCATTCTCGCCACCCCCCCAGAATCCACTGGGCCCCATTGTCTTCTTGGCATTGGGAAAATCCAAATGAATTTCAACGAAGCGGCGTGGTTTCACATGTTACGTGACCAAAAAGACTTTGCCCAAGACCACCCCCATGTATCACTCTCGGAAAGGCGTGTGGAGGAAGGATTTCTTGTTCTTGAGACTATGGCTAATTTTTTTCTCATCCTCCCGCCCTTTCTCACTCGCCAGCAGGCGCGTCCGAGGAATCGATTTCACCGCCTTGTCTTCCTCCACTTCCGGACATGGTGGGTGAAAAGTCAGTGAATTTGCTCACTCGAAACAATGTTAGGAGGAAGAGAAAAATTCATGAACTTCCTTTCCACCCCTTCCGATCGCCGTCGCTCTTGGCCAAATGGCGGGGCCTCTGGGAGGGTTGCTGTTGAGCTTGGGCGGAGAGAGACTTCTAGTTAAACTAATTTGAACTTGGCTACTTGGCAATTCTCAGATATTTCTTGCTGAGGATTATTTAGTTTGGAATTGTGTCAGTTGAAATGTTTCACGGAATAGAATTTTGAATACTATAAACTGATGGTTTGCAGGCCATTAAGCATTGGTGCGAGGCTGTTTGGTAAGAGCACGAAATCCAATAGCAGGTCCTAAGATAAAGAATGGGAAAATTGTTACGATAAATCATCTGCAGTGTCCATTTTTTCCCACATGCTCTTTTTGCTCCTCTCCTCTCGGACGCGGGGAAATATATGACTTTGGGCAAATTGAATTATCACTTTTCTTGCGGGTATCTTTAGTCGTTTTGTCGCTCTCCTCGAAATTGAGCCATTAGCCTCGGATGCGATGTGGAGAAGTGAATTTAGTGCAATTAAAGCTTAAAACTGTCCGGTAAATATGAGAGAAACACCTGCAAAGATGTGGCATTTTATGCATATATGCACATAGATATGTGAGAAATCTCGTGACAAATAAAATATCACGAATATCTATTCTTATTGCTCACACCATACAGCAAAAGGCTCTCTCACATCTCCTCAGTGCCGAGGCTATAAATTTGTAATTTTTATAGCTTCATTTATGTCCCACGCAAGAGTGCACTAGAAATGAAGAGCCTCGTGTGTCTTTATTTCATTGCAGTAACGAGTTGGAGGGTCGGTGGGCTGGCGAGTGGCACAGCGAAGTGGAGAAGCATGGAGACACAGTGCCAGAGGGGCTCGGGGGGCGGCGGCGCGCCCTCTTGTAAAAATTCCAATTTACTGCAGTTTGGTAATATTGCCTGAATCCAAAATGCTCTAGTAATTTCAAACTGACTGGAGCGAATTTGGAGGAAATTAATGGCAATTTGCTGTCTTTGCTCCCGCGCGCGTCAAGAGCTTTTTCGTCACTCATAAGAAGTGACTTCCGTCACTCTGGACACAAGCGCGGCGAGTGTGAGAAGATTGGCGCAAAAAAGGCGACGAACCTCGTCAATGGTGGCAACGATAAAACAATGAGCATGGTTAAATTAAATGAGACAAATGGGCGGCAACGGCAAGGGTGGCGAAACGGGGGCCCGCGCGTTCGGGGCAAAAAAATGGAACATGAGAAAAGCCATTTGAAAAGTGGATACATAAAAGTCTAACTTACTACATAGCCCATAGTGTATTTTTTGGCAGAGCTGAGCCAACCGGAGCCGGACACCATTCCAAGTCCACATTTCGTGTGTGTATTTTTATTGAAAAATCTCTCCGCCTTTCGCTCAACTTTTCACCACACTCTCTCTCTCTCTCCACCCTCTTGTGCACCCCCTCAGCCACTCAATTTGCCATTGCATCAAATCCCCACGATGAAATTCCGATAAGTCTCTCACACTTTTTTCCATCCACTTCGCAGCCACTAATTTATCACGGCACTTGGCGCACTCCAAGAGTCTGAATTGCCTGAATTAATTAGGTGCCTCCGCCACCCAGAATCAACTGGTACTGCATTACCAGGAGATTTAGCTCAATGAGCTCCGGAGATTTATTTCTACACATGTCTTTTTAACGATTCACCCACAACAGAGCTTCACTGTGGCTCGGGCGGCAATAAAGTCAAGTGTGTGTTCAAGAACAGACGAAAGTGTTGAGGATTATTGAGATTTATGTTGAGGCAGTTCCTAGAATTTGTACTAGGCGACAGCGAAAGAGCTTTAGAACGAGGGTATTTTAAATCAGTGCATCTAGTGCTGGAAGTTAAATCTTTGTGGAGGTTTTAAGCAAAGTATTGATAAGAATCAAGGACAAATTCCCTAATCCTTCCCCCAATCTTACCTTGAATTTAATCAACGGAAATATGTTTGAACTCATTAGGAAATTTTAATTGGTTACTTGTTCACGAAACATGCTTTTTTTCTCACCACTCGCCGCCTAATGAGTCCCTGAAAATAGTGGCAATGCAGTGCAAATCTGTTAACTGACGCCCAAGAGTGCAACATTCCCTCTTCAGATGGACGTGGCATTGAAGTGAAGAAGTTCATGGCTTTGCTGCTATTTTTTCACACCACTTGTGAGTCTCGATGGTGTTAAGAAAAAGCCCCGGCAATAAAAGAGTGTGCAGAATTGTTTCAGTGGGTGGGCCTCGGGCGGAGGAATTTAAGCTGTGGGGTGGTGTGAGGGAATAAATTCCCATGATGATCCTCTCCGTGGCGGCGGTGGCGTCGACGAGTGGTGCATTGGGCGCCGCATATCATTAATTTCCATTTCAACAAACTAATTGCGCCATTAAAAATTTTTTTCCACCATCCAATTCCGGCTCTAAAGTACTCTTACGCCGTGCCACCTCATCCCCGGCTTGGGCGCTGCGGCGCGGGGCCAGAAATCAGAAGTGGGCCGGCCGGGACGAGGGTGGACGTGAAAATTGGGCAGTGAAAATGTCGGGGTGGAATGCAAAAATGTGGGCGCGCAGCGAAGGAAGAAAAAAACGTTGATGCGATGGAGACTATAAATTCATCCCACTTCTCGGGGGCAAGTGTGGGGTGGCCGAGGGTGTCATTATGTATTCATAGAGTCGCGACGATGACGATTTTCCTTGTGGGTGTTCTCCTTTTTTTCTGGTCTCCGGCCCAGCAGTGCATTTGTTGGCCTTTTTGCATCGCAGCGGGATGGATAAACAATAAAAATTGCAGGCGGCGGTGGGGTGGCTCCTTTGTGGGTGGGCGGTGGAAAATGGTCTCCCCGCACTGCACCGGGTGGGGTGGCGCTGGGACGGGTGGCCGAAAATGTCCCCTGCAGTATTTTCCCAGCTATCTCTCCGTCTCTTTGGGAAACTATCGCACCGACACTACATAGATAGCGGCCTGCAGCATATATGATCGTGTACATTTTCTCCACTGCGATGGTCGTTGTCTGGAATGGCTGAGGATGGGCCAGTGGGACAGCGAGTGAATACACCCCATTGTCCACCAAGAGCACCCACTTGCCCAAGTCCGTTGTCACTGGGTGTCTCATTCTTCTCCACGCCGCCCAGAGCCGCCCTGGCGGAGTGGAGAGCATGGCCCAGTGTTGCAGCATCAATTTCACGATGAAGGGGTGGGCGCCCCGGCAGAATGCGTATAGGAAGAGGACAGAGAAATTTTTCAAAATGAAATACATAAATACAATTCAGGCGGAAGACGCCTGAAAAATGGATAATTTTTGGCTAAAGTCAACGCCAAAGCACAGAGGGTGGTGAATGGTGTCCTTCTCCCGCTCCCCTCGGCCTCTGGCTGTCGCCTAGAAACTGGGCGAGAGATATGGTGAAGCGAAAAATTTTCTTGGTCATGAAAATTTGTGTCCAGTTGGGAAAAATTACAGAGGGTGGGGGAGTGAGATACAAGAAATTCATCTCTCGTCGCCTCTCATAAAGCACACTCTTAATTTATATATATCGTAAAATATGCGACTGCTGCAATTCTTGGCTTTGTGCTTGGAAGGACCCGGTCTTGGGTCAGTGAAGGTAGCCAGTAAATCACTTGAGTCCCTCCGGTTTAGCCTGTGTGTTCTAGCCCAACTTCTAATCCTGTCTTCGTCTCTGCTTCGTTCGCAGGCCGAACCCTGGAGCCAGCCACGACAACACGAGACATCTGCTCTCTGATCGATCTACTCGAGCGGTAGTAGATCGACAGGTGGGGAGGAGGAGGTGAAGATTGATTTAATTGTCGAGGAGCGAAACGCCACCATCAATCCGGACCCCATGACGATGGCGGAGGGCAGTGACCCCATGGGGCCCAGTCCGCATCACCATCCGCCACCCTATCAAACGACGACGCAGCAGCAGACGGGCCCGGCCAAGTCGCCGTCGGCGCAGCCCGTGAACAACAACCATCCGCTGATCTCCAACCAGAATGTGCCGTGGAAGCAGAGGAAGAGGAAACGACTGAGCGCGGTGCTGGACAAGCTGCACAACAACAACATCATCAGCCTGCACAACAACAACCAGGGTGAGTCCAGCTTCAAGGTGAAGTGCACGGACAACAGTCGCTCGAGCGAGGAGGATCAGGAGTCCGATGTCTTCTCCACGGCCGACAGTCCGCGCATCAGCGTGAGTCCGCTGCGGCTGGCCGATGTGGAGGCGCTGCGCGTGCAGGTGAAGCAGGAGCCGCTCCCCAGTCCGCACGATCGCTACTTCCCGATGCCGTCACCCTTGTTTGGGTACTACTTGCAAGCCAAATACCTGCCTGATCTCTTCCGGCGGCGCAGCCACTCCGACTCAGATCTGCAGACCACGCCGGAGATGATGCTGATGGCGCAGCAGCCGCAGGAGTATCCGCTGGATCTGTCCATGAAGTCGTGCAAGCAGCCGCCGAGTCTCACCGAGTCCATGTTCATGACACGCACACTGGGCGCCATGAGCGCTCTCAGCAGTATCCTGCCGCCGGGCGCCGTGGGCGTGCCCGTGGTGAAGGGCGACGTGGCGTCGCCCACAACGAAGGAGTCCGTGGCGTCGCGCTACAACCTAGACGTGTCGCCGGTGGTGGAGGAGATGCCGCCGGGCTCGGATGTGGCGTACGTGTGCCCCGTGTGCGGACAGATGTTCTCCCTGCACGATCGCCTGGCCAAGCACATGGCCAGCCGCCACAAGAACCGCACTTCCAGCGCCGACATCACGAAGGCGTACGTGTGCGAAGTGTGTCATCGCTCGTTCGCGCGCTCGGACATGCTCACGCGCCACATGCGTCTGCACACGGGCGTGAAGCCGTACACGTGCAAAGTGTGCGGCCAGGTGTTCTCGCGCTCCGACCACCTCAGCACGCACCAGCGCACGCACACGGGCGAGAAGCCGTACAAGTGCCCGCAGTGCCCTTACGCCGCGTGCCGGCGCGACATGATCACGCGCCACATGCGCACGCACGCGCGCTACGACGCCCAGCGGCCGAGTGCCGCCGTCGCGGCGCCCATCAAGCTCGACACGCCGCCACTCACGATGGTGAAGATGGAGCCGCCGCAGCTGGCGATCGTGAAGACGGAGAGCGCCTAGGCTGACCCGAAGACTGACTCAAACTCTTCAGCAGAGCCATCCTTCCCCCCTGCACGCACACCCACTGGAGAGGTATTGACGCGCAAGTCACAAAACTCTTAACTTATCCATTCCCATTCTTCCTTAGATCAAGGTTGTGAGCATTTTTCTAGCGATTAGTTTAGTTAATAGGTTGACTCGATAATTACAATAATTGTATGGTTTTCTCTTCAATGAGGCCTCCGCAGTGCATCTCTCACGGGAATTCACGCCTTTGTGGAATTTCTCAACTCGATTGACAGAGAAATTCCAGGCAATTAACAATGGAAAACTGTCATTATATCCTCACAAAAAAAAAATATGCTTCGAATTTCTTACTAGAAAATTAGAATGACGATGAATTGCATCGGATGTTTGGACAAAAATAGGCTCAACCACTCTTTTCTGCACTTAAATCTCACGTGTGACCACGCCTTAACAATATACGTAACATTTAGCGGTATTTGTGTGACAAAGGCCATGAGAGGGTGCGAGGAGGCCCATGAAGAAATGTAATGAAGCACTTTTTTCGTGTGTAGCAAAGATGTGAGAGGGAATTCTGAGAAATTAAGTGTCTTTTGCCGGCGACAATGGGAGGAGAAGAAAAAACTGTGAGAAAAGCACTAAGCTGAATTAGATTTTCTTTTTATTGTAATAACATACAGGACGTTTTTTTTTTAACTTTAAGGCCGACACAGAGTTGGAGTTGAAATTTGTGTGTGTGTTGATAGTGATCTACTTCTTTTTCCTGGTGAATTTTTCAAGCGGAAGTGTTGCGAAGGAGGCACAGTATCAGAGAGACACATAAAAGTCTCACAGAGATTTCCACCAAGTTGTTAAATATTAAAGCCAGAGGCAGGAAGAATCGAGGATGGGCTGGAGCGATGGGGGTTGAGCGAGAGTGTGGAGCATTCTATATTTGATGATGGGGCGTCTTGGCTCCGCAGAGTGGAGTTAATCAATTGATTTTGTGGGATCAGGAAGAAGGCAGGGAGAGCTTTTTTCTGGTCTGAGGAAATAATTTATCAGGATTAGCAACAGATTATCCATTTAGGCAGAGCAACAGTTTGAAAACGGCTTTGAACAGTGTGAATAATGCATGGAATTTTTCCTTTTTGCGTGAAAGTTCCGCAAAGTCCACCTCTGGGCGACCCTTCGAGGACAGCCCCGATGTCGTCAGAGCCCAGCCATAAATCATGGGGCATAAATTAGCGATTGGCCGGCCCGGGGGAGGCGGGGAAACGTGAGTGGAGACAGCAAATTGAACGCCAAAGGTGATACATCGATAACATGTGACGGGGGAGAGTATCGCATTTCACGATCGCATCATAATCGAAATGGAGTTCCGCCACCCACCCCCCACCCCCTCCCAAATTCACTGCACACAGGCGACAGAATATGCAGTAGATGGCATCGATAATTCATTCTCCCCGGGGGACCATCCCGGATTCAAGTCACATGGAGACTTCTTCAGTGCACCAGAGTCGCATCCAATTTATTATTCAGACTTTTTCCAGCCCCTCTTCTTCTCATCTTTTTCGAACGCCCGCTTGACAATTTTCCCACTTAAATATCACCTTCAATTTACTCCTTAAAGCCACTGGCGTGATGTTTCTCCAGGGAGGAATTCCCTGAAAGACTTTTCACCAAGGGCTTTAACGTGGCGATGTGAAAAAGCGAAATCCCTCGCAATATTGTGCACCCAAATCTCCACTATGACACGCTCTCTATATTGCGAAAAGGGAGTACTTTAAAGGCAGATACACTTGTGCTGCCGGGACCCCATTTCTCCTTATAGTTCAATGTGTTATTCGTGAAAAATACCAGCTATGTTCGAGTCAATCACGACATGCATGCATTCGATATACGTTGCAATTACGGAAATTTGAAGATTTTCGCAGATTTGCTGGCATTTTTTCATCCGAGAAATCGTGAAATATTCTGTCCGTCGCTGCGTTTGCACTTAATTTAGCAACTCCACAATGCGGCAAAGTCTCTTAACTCTGGCCCAAGGTCTTTTTTCACCCTGTCTCACTTTTGCATGGTGGCAAACTTGAGCGACACACAGTGTGGGCTGGAGTGGGGCCATCGTGCGCGGCAGAGAGGAAATGACTGCGACCAACCCGGCCACCCACTCGCCCGAGCTCCGACTGCAGCGGGTGCAATGCGGGTTGCGGCTAATGCTGACCCTGTTTCCTACATTCCGTGCGAGGGCGGCCCCGCGTCTTGAGGTGTGCATGCGGGTGGGTGCTCTGAATCAATATGCATGGGGGGAAAACTGTTGCTCCATCTCACCGCTGGCAAATCAATCTTTTCCTCGTTCGATCGACGCCAGTTCACCCTCTCATTTGCAATTGAAATTCAAACCACTTTGCAACACCACTCAACAGTCCCCCGCCAAATGTCGAAGCGGGGCGCCGGCGGGGGAGGAAGCGGAAAGCCACCCCGCCGCACGCCATGCCTTTAAGACATGAGATGCCCCGCGTGGCAAGAAATACCGTCGCGTTTCGCATAGTTTGCAAGCGCGAAGGGAAATTCAGAGTGAAGGGTTGGCAAGTGGTAGCAAAATGCCAAATGACAAGTCAATAAAGCGTCACTCATCAGCCCCTATATGAACTCCACCCATTTCGCTCGGTGTCTTGAATTGCTTCTCTCCGGCTTATGAATCTTCATTCTTCTCGCGACATTTCGCAATCTACGAATTAACACGTTTGTTACACTGCAATTTACGTTCATTGCAACGACGATCAAGTGCCAAAATTACACTTTGCCAAAGGCAAGACGGGGGACAAGAAATAAATGTTACAAATAGAGGAAATTGCGAGCACACTCGAGATAAGTAAACAAGGAGCAAAAAAAAGCTAAGCTTAAACAGAAAATAAGCGACATATAGACATAGAAAGAGGCAACAATAATCCCATGAATAGCGCGCGCGAAGAAGGAGCTGCAAGACAATTGGACGAATTGCAGAGGCACAATTGAATTTTGCAATTAAAAAGTAAGCAGAAGAAATTGAAAAAGACGTGGCCAGTTTTTATCTCTCCTCTATTTTTTCCCCCTTTCCCTTTAAAAAGCTGAAGACATTAAATATAACTTTTAAATGACATTAAAAGACTCTGATAAATCTCATGCAAGAAATCAACTCGAATATTTTTACGTAGCATCTTTCCAAAATGTGTAAAATATATTATGTAATTTTGTACTTTTACAGGATTTTACTTAAAAACTTAGCGGATTAAATAAATGAAATTGATCATTTGTGAATGTATTTCCAAATATTGATATATATATAAAAACGCTCTCCCCCAAATTTTGCGAGTGAAAATAAAGAAAAAGAAACCTTATGTACCTTGCTAATATTCTTCCTTCTTTTGTGAATTTGAAATAAGTGCGAAAAATACGTTGGAAAAGCGCAGTTAAGAAAATGTGTTAAAAAAAAGGTACTTTTAAAAAGTGTTAGGACAAAAAGGACATTTTGTTAAATTGAGGCTCTCTCAAGAGATGTGAAAGAAAGAAAAAAAAACAAAGGAAATCAATGAAAATGCTTTTATGAGAAAAAGTTCATATACTCAAGAAATGAAGAGGAAAGTAATGATAAAAATTGAGAAATCAGCTCTTTTTGACATCTTATGTAATTTATAACTAGGATAATAATTGAAAGGACATTATATTTATTTATTATTTAATCTTAGTAATGATATTTTTGCATTTTATTACTAGTTTTGTATGAAGTTGACTTGTTACTTGAATTTCGTTTTTTCCGCATTCTTACATCATTCATCCCAACATATTTCCTTTAGACTCTTTTTTTTCCATTAAATACTTGTTAAGGGAAATACAATTTTAAGAATGAAGAATAAAGATACTAGACTTAGTGATCCAATTTTAGAAATTTAAGTTTTTTTCTTAAATTATTGACTTTTTTCCCTTATGTGAAAATAAAAAATGTTTTGTGAGTACAAAATGACAAATTTCTTTTATTAGTTCTACATTTTATTTTTACAATATTTTCTCTCATTTTTTTTAAATTATTTTGCGCAAGTGCACTTTTCGTCAAATAAAGTTCACAATGTGAAATTTGCTCAATTTCATGTGTTTTCTTTTTTCTCACCTTTCAGTTGGTATTTTTTCTTCCTTCCTTTTGATCCTTTTTAATTTTGCAGATTTTTCAGTTTTGCAGCAAATTATCCGTCATTTAGCAGTGCCTTCGATTGTATATGACAGACAAAGTCTTAAGTAACATGAGAAAAAAATATTAATTGTAAAATTGTAAAGGACAAGAAACAACTTATGAGCAGTTTATTACAATTTCCTAAATAGTAAAGCGAATGAAAATATATGTAGATTCTTACTGGAAAAAATTCCCTGTAACTACAATAGTAGATGACTAACATTAAACTCCGTTCAAATTTTCACATTAACTGCATTATAGTGGCAGAAATACTGCAATATTTCGCTTTCCCAAGTAAAAAAAAGTAAAAAATAAAACATGAGAATTGCATGAAACGCAATGATGAAAACAATTAAAGTAATAATTTTGAGAAAAAAAAGAAACATATCAAAGTGTCTTAAAAAGGGCACATTTCTTGACTCCTTCATTTTATTTTTTCTACGAACTAAGATTAGAATGCTGAATGCAAAGAAACTTCAAAATTTTATCAAAGAATACAAATTTCGGATATTTTCTTAATCACATTATACATCATATAAATAATGAAAAAAAATAATAATACTAACCTTAAATAAAAAATTTCAGGGCTTCATACTAACTAACTGAAAAAAGCGCATTTAAAGGAAATTGCTCAAATTACCAGCAAGAAAAAAAACACCTTAAGACACTAAACAGTTGAATATTTTTAAATGAATTGTACATAGAAATTCAATAAATTAAAAAAAAAATATTACCAATTATACGGAGCTAAATGATAGAAGAAACTCGACAATTGTTAAATGAAATTGATACCATTATGAACTGATTTTTTGCTATACATTGTAGATCTTATTGAAAGAACAGAATAACAATTTTATCTATTAATTTGAAATAAAATTTATGAAAACATTTTCAAAGCATAAATTCCGCTCGTGTGTTTCTTATGTGACTCCTCCTGGTGCGTTTTTTGATGCTTCTCTTGTGCGAATTGAGGAATTTATAGGTGAGAAGGAACAGTGAATAACTCTCAAGGGGGTCAATTTGACCAACAATAAAATATTCCAGGAGCGTCAGGAGTAGTCACTCTAACCCATTGACCTCTCCCCGAAGAACTTAACACACACTCCTCGCATCAGGGGATCCTTCGGCTGTCTCTTTCGCTCCCTTTCGAGCTCCGGTCGCGCCGATCAAGTATTTCCCGAGGGGCGACCAATTCGCAGAATCGCGTGCCATGGAGGAATTGAACGTGAATTGGAAAAATTTATCATGCTGAAATTTGCTTTTTCCAAGTAGAAAATCAATCAAACAGCTCTTAAAATAGACAATTTTCTATCCTGAAATAGTATTTTAGAGGTTCTGATCAATCTTAGCGTAACTAACACAGTTTATTAACAGATAAAACTTGTCATTTTCAACAGATTTCATTATTATAGTGCCGGTAGACGCAAGAATTGAAGATTTCTGTTGTTATTTTCTCCAATTTCTGTGTTAATTCCTTTTGAAGGTAACTTTTGAACGCACTTCCAAATATTTCTACTGAGCTGCAGACCACTTCTCGCCATATTATTTCCCCCCTGCTATAAAATACTGAAACAGAAGAGAAGAAGAGAAGATTAGGAATTGGAAAAGTGCCAGTTGTCCGCCCCCTGACAGGGCCGTGGAAAAATGACGAAACACGGAATCCGTGGTGTCCGAGTGGCGAGGAAGTTTGTCACAGGAGAGTCTCATGCGGCGGCAGGACCGAAGGCCGCAGAGGACAGATATGCAGAAGACATGTCGAGAGAAACAGGAGGTAAGTAGCCGCTCGGCCACTCTGGCGTGAGTGGATGCAAAGCAGCCACGAGAGATGGGAAATAATTTGAGCGTCTAGCAGGCACGACAGACAATTCCCATGGCAGGGAATTTGCGCAAGTGGAGTCTTTGGGGACAATTAGAAAACATGTGACCACGTCGGACACTGCTGGGTCCGCTTTGGAGCACACCCAAGTCAAGTGGACAGCGATTATAAGACATCCCAACGCCTCTCTCGGAGTGGTGCAAAAAAGGCAACATGCAACATTGGCCGATAGTTAAACGTGTTTCATATGAATTATGACCTCGCGAATGGTGGTGGCTCGTTTGTCTGTTTGTTCTATACGTCTCATCTCCTCCGTCCGCGGCTCACACACTCTCGCGTGTGTCCAGCTCAGGTGGTGAGACGAGTCTCCGGGGAAGTCAGGTGCGGTGGCGGCAGTGACTAAGTACTCTTCCCAGTTTCCTGCCTCCAATATCAACCAGACAGACGCTGCAGCACATTAAAATATATCATTTTCGTGCGTGAGACTTTCCTCCGCGATGCCCTGCCATCGCTCCACATCTTCCCACCAGCGGAAAGGCGCTCTCCGTGGACCGCGAGCGCACACACACTCTCGGTGGAAACATTTTAATTAATCTCCTTCTTGTCTTATGCGTGGATTTTATTGCTCTCACAATTTCCGCCCCGCCGTATGGGTTCAATTAAAAAATTAACAAAATACCTGGCATTTGTCGACGTGGCACTGTCGCAAATCTCGTGGGACGCTTATTGAGAGATCTGAGGCAGAATTCGCGCTGCCTCCACAGCGAGTTCTCGAGGGATTCTGCCACTTTTCAATGGCTTTCGTGGCTCTCAAGAGCCGAAGAATTTATTCTATATAGAACTCAATATCCATCAAATCCGCCTCATCTCCCAACTTCCGTACAAGTCACAAAAGTGCTCGAAGCTCTAAGCAGAGCCCAAACTAGACGTGGAGGAAGAAAATTAAGTGTGACTGCAAAAAACTCGTCAGAAAAGCCAGGTTTCCGCCGCGGAGGTGCAAAAAGTCAATAATTAAACGTGTCAAAATTAGAAACTGTGGGAAATTTCTTCCGTCGACGTTTCAAATTCAATATTGCCGAGGAGTTTCTCGATCTGGCACATAAGAGTGCCTTTTTGCCAAATCGCATCTGCAAAAG